AAGGCTTTTCTACCCAGAGCCTCAGAGAGGTGACCAGTGACTGTGCATTTCAACATAAAATTAATTACCTAGGTCCAGGGACCACCAGGACTACCATATCATTCTCCAAGGTAAGGGCAGGGCCAAAGAACTAAGTGAGAAAAAGATGAGGAGATAGTAAAAACACCCACAGACATTTGCCTTGAGTTTATTTAATGTTACATAAGCTTGTCCTTAACAAAGACATTTTATCTCTTACATAACAAGGTGTGGAAGTTGGTGCTTTAAATATGTGGGGTCTTTTTTCTTTGGGACAGGGTCCCATTTTGCTACCCAGGCTGGAATGCAGTGGTGCAGTCACGGCTCACTGCCTCCTTGAATGCCCAGGCTCAAGCAATTCTCCCACCTGAGCTTCCTGAGTAACTGGGACCACAGGCATGTGCCACCATGCTCAGCTAATTTTTTTTACTTTTTGTAGAAATGAGGTCTTGCCATGCTGCCCAGGTTGATCTTGAACTCCTGAGTTCAAGCAATCCTCCCACCTCGGCCTCCCAGAATGTTGGAATTACAGGCATGAACCACCTTGCCCAGCACATCTGTGGGGCCTCGATCAAAAAATTCTCAAGAGAATTGGGAGCAAAGTTGAAGATTTGACAACAAAGACACGTAGTTACCACCTGGTGGCAGCATATCTAAACTAAAGACTGAGTGTGACGTGTGTGACGTGTGTGTGTGTGTGTGTGTGTGTGTGTGTACATCCACACAAGCAAGTTCAGGGCAAGGAGAGATTAGAACAGAATTGTACAATCTCAAGGTCAGAACCCAACATCTCTCCCCAGCCCCACTTCAATTAACACTGGGAGCGTCCCCTATAACCTTCCAACTCAGGTGATTATCTTGGATTCTCATTGGAGAATCAACCTCATTACCACCCTTTCCCAAACTCAAGTCAGAAAGATTTGTCCCAATAACAGCTAGGTGTTCAGCAAAGGCCTAAAGCCTGCCAGCCTATAATGTTTGTCCTGTGAGTGAGTCAACGAGTGAGCGAGTGAATGAATGAACAGCCTCATTTCCTGAATATGGTTATTTTCATCCTCTAGGGTTACCACAGTCAATGGCGGGGTGCTGACAAATGTGGCAATCTAGACATTTAGAAATAGCTCCATCTCAGCAGAAGTGTCTCTCAGGTCTGGCAAATGCAGACCCTAGAAGGGCAGGCCAGGAGAGCCCTCTATATTCCAGTGGGATAGCAGACAGATTTGCCTCTTGGGAATATGAAGACACAGATTCCTGGTCCAGTCCTCCCTTGATGGGACTTAAGTAAGTTACTAAATCTTGGAGCCTTAGTTTTCTTTCCTGTGAAACAGGGATAATTCTATCCACCAAACCCTAGGACGGTCAGATGAGATCATATTGATATGGGCAGTTTGTGGACTTTTAAAGAGCTGCCAGATGTTTTAAGTTATTACTCTGCTGGGCGGTGCTGCAAATATGCATCTTAGATTTAGTAGTGTGTCCTCTATCCTACTTCTTTTATGAATTAAGCTGCCTGCTCACCTACAGAGCCACGGTTAGTAAAATAAATGATTCCTCCCCATGTCCAAGTTGCTGCTGCTTCTGAGCCAGGAGGTAAGTGATCATTCTCAAGGTTAAACTTGACAGCCACAGAGACAAAAACACAAACCAAACCATGTCTAGAGTCAGAAAATTCAGAGTTCATATAATTGGGGAAATAAAAATGTGGGCCAGGCATCATGGCTTACGCCTGTAATCCCAGCACTTTGGGAGGCCAAGGAAGATGGATTGCTTGAGCTCACAAGTTCAAGACCAGCCTGGGCAACATCACAAAATCCTGTCTATGTGAAAAATACAAAATTTAGCTAGGCATGGTGGTTCACACCTGTAGTTCCACTAACTGGGAGGCTTAGGTGGGAGGAAGGCTTGAGCCAGGGAGATAGCTGTTATTGGGAGCCAAGATTGTACCACCGCACTCCAGCCTGAGCAATAGAGCCAGACCCTGTCTCAAACAAACAAAGAAACAAACAAACAAAAATATGGTGAGTTTCCTTTTCTCATGCAAAAAGAAGCCAAATTTGACAGCTGGCAGCCTCCTTCCAGCTCCACAGCATCCAGAAGCCCCCTGGCCCGGGTGACGTTACAAGTTGCAGTTGGCTACAAACCAGGCTAGCTCCACAGCACACTGCTGCCTTGGGAAGCCCTGGTAAACCTCATCAATCCTGCTGGGAGGGGCCCAGCACACCAGGAATAATGGGAGAGACACCTTTGGTACTCCCTGCAGGTTTCCAGTGCTGTGGTGGGACATGGCATGTGTTAGAACATCCAAGGGGGCCAATAAGTGCTAAGGCTCTGTTAGCGCTAAACTGCCAATAAAATAGGGCATTGTCTAATTGTCCAGCAGTTTCCCTAGCAAAGACACAGGGCAGAAAGGATGATGCAGTCTCCAGATTCAAGTGGGTACTGGTGGTTCTCCAAGTGTTCTTTTGTGAGTGAGTCCCTGTTCCACGGTGGAAAGGACTGGGTCCCAATTCCCCGCCTGGGTCTCCAATACCCAGGAGAGATCAGTAGCTGAAATGTACTTGATGCTCCAGAAATGCTTATTGTGTATATCGGTAGAAGGATGATGGGCAAGGCTAGGGGGCGCCAGAGGCTGTTTTGTTATCCAATATCTAGAGCTGCAGCTAGGGGAAGCATGGCTATAGAGGCCAGATGGTTTTTCCAAAAGGAACCACAACTAAAATGCATGGTGTCGGATAACAATTTCTGCCATAGTATACAGAATATGGTCCTAATGACAGAGAAATCTGGATTCAAATCTAGGCTCTATCACTGACTATGACTCTGGGAATGTTCAATCTCTCTTTGCCTCCGTTTCCCCATCTGTAAAGTGCAGGTAATAAAAGCATCCTCGTAGGGTAGTTCTGGACTTCAGTAAGATCAAGGGTATTAATGATAGGGAGGATGCTTTCTCTCCTCACATCCATGTCAAGGCACAGCTCATTCAGAAAGGGCTTCCACCAGCACTTCCAGCCCTCCCAGTTAGGTGCTGGAGGGGAGCTTTTACTGCTGTTTCTCCTGAAGGAGCAGCAGTCTGACTGGCAAACAGCTGACAACCGCTGGACCACATCCTGCAGGTGCTGGGGTCAGTGTCAAAGGCCTGCTGGCATCAGAGACTGCCTCTGGCCCTCTGACCAACCTGTGCCTTCTCTCCAAGGCACCCTCTTGGTACCTGCTCTTCCATGAGTTCACGGATGGGAAAGGCAGGCCTGCCTCCCTGTGGGCCCAGGGCCCTACATCTTCTTTTCAGACTGAAGGCTGGTAATACTCAATCTAGCCCATTCCAGAAATTCCCCCATCCAGGATGCTGATACCTTGGTGGATACTTCCCTTTCTTGAATCTATTAATGAAATCCAGAGGGAAGGAGGGCTAAGTTTACAGTGGTGCCTCTGCATGCTTAGCATTTCATAGAGAATGATGGTGACACATGAATAAGCCTCTTAAGAGGGTCTGCTGTGTGTCCCCTGCTTCAACTCCAGTATGTGCGTGGAGATCAGATCCAGTAGTACCTAGATCTGTGGTTCTCAAGGGTGGTAGCACTGTCCTCGGGGGCATTTGGGAAGTCTATGAGGGTATTTTGGATGGTCACCAAGGAAATGGCATTTAGTAGAAGGGGGAAGGACCCCAGACACCCTGCTATGTGTGGGATAGTCCTGCACAGTGAAGAAATGTTTTGTGTCCCTCGTGACTTCAAATAGTCCCCTAGACATACATATATGTTTTAAAAAGTGAGTATGATGTATATTTATATCTATGTGCATACTTCTATATATCTATGTATATGTACATGCATGTGTGTATTTTTAAATTTAATGTCAGCAGATACTAGCAAAAATATGGACACATATACCTATGATTTAATTACTAATTATTATTAATGCCATATTGGTTGGGAGTCACATGTCACAGACTTCTCTCTACTCTGTTGTATATTCTTATTTTGTTTCAGGTTTAGGCACTGGAGGGAGCCTGTACTGATCATTCATTTTTGTAGAAAGGTACTGCTTTTGCAGTGGAACAAACAAGATAATAAAAAATGGACAAAGTAAAAAAAAAAAAAAGAAAAAAAATGGACAAAGTTTGTTAAACAGTTTATAAGAAAAATCGTGATCCTGGAGAATGATATTTTGAAAATCAGTTTACTATATATAATCCAATAAAATCACATTACTCCTCCACCCCGAAAATCCACTTATTATTTTCTGAGTCTAGAACCTAAACTGTTTCACATATAAACACATCTTATTTTTGCAAAACTTAATTTTTTTTTTTAGAAATTCAATTACTGTGAAAATAGAAAGGAAATCATAAAGAGTGGTTCACTATCTAGGAAAATCTGGGTGCCGGTGACAACACTGCTCCCATCATTTGAGCCACCAAGACCACAGACATGTGTCAGTCAACATTTGAAGCCATAATGCTGCCAGTGATTCTAAGTGTGTCTCCATCCGACTATTTGTCATGACTTCTGGTACAGGCATGCCTGAACATGTCCTCTTCTTTTCTATCTCTTTCCTATTTCAATTAGGGCAGTATATTTGATTTCTGAGAATTTTATACGTAGGTAGGTTATATAATATGCAAACCTCGTGTCAGAGTAGGAAAGGGGGGATATTACAAAATGTTTGTTATAAAAAGGACCCACGGAGCCTGGCAGGGCTGAGAGCCACTGATTTGGCTTCTCAGATCACAAGGCAATGACTTTATCCATTCTGACTTCCAGATATGTGCTTAAACTCTCCCAGCAGTCACAACAGAGGAAGTTTGAAGAAGGACTCTGCTCGCCACCACACATGACTCCAGCCCTAGCTTGGCATAAAACAGGACCTTCATCTCTCTGGGGTGGAGTGAGGGGAAGCAGGGACTCCCCCAGCCATCGTCAACCAGAATGAAAAAGCTATTTCTCAGCAGTAAGGTGGAAGCAGAACTGGGTTGTGCTACTTACAGAGGTCTTCAGTGGCAGCTGGGACGAAGGCAGCCATGGATTCGTAGAGATCCTCATCACAGCCGGGGTTGAGCGAGCATTTCATGAGCAAGTCTGTGGAAAGGTGGGCCATGGACTCATACACAGCATCAGCCTCCTCCCCTTGCATCAGCTCTTCTTTAATGTGACTCTTGAGCATGTCCACCGTTTCCTGAAAGAGAAGGCAAGGCCCAGGGATTGAGGCAGCCTGGCTTTATGTGTGGAACTTGGCCCCTGATGGCACTGTGGCCAGCAAAGGTTCCCGTGAGTCGAACTTGGCCCCTGATGGCACTGTGACCAGCAAAGGTTCCCGTGAGTCAGGATTGCAATTGTTTGTGTGTATCTGTATTTTCCCACCTAACTGAATGCTCCTTGAGGCCAGGCTTCCCATCTTTTTTAGTTTCTTTCCTATATTTTGTTTTAATCTTTGTCTCTTCCTGAAACACTAAGCACAGAGTTAGGCACTCAAGAGATACTTGCTGAATGTCCAGTGACCAGAGGATACAAATAAAAATTACTTTCCCATGGCCTGGCATGGTGGCTGACACCTGTAATCCAGGACTTTAGGAGGCCAAGGTGAGTGGATCACCTGAGGTTAGGAGTTTGAGACCACAACATGGCAAAACCTCATCTCTACTAAAAATACAAAAATTAGTGGGGTGTGGTGGAGCATGCTTGTTATTCTGGCTACTTGGGAGGCTGAGGCATGAGAATTGCTTGAATCCAGGAGGCAGAGGTTGCAGTGAGTCGAGATTGCGCCAGTGTACTCCAGCCTGGGCAATAGAGCAAGACTCTGCCTAAAAACAACAAAAAAAGTTACTTTCCCATGAGCACCTATTAAATGTCAAGTATGATGCTAGGTATTTGCCTATCCCCTATCTCCTGTAATCCATTCTGCTACTGCTTGAGAAAGGTATAATATTCCCTAGTTTACAGACGAGAAAAACAAAGCTCACAAAAATCTACTATCTTACTCAAGGGCTTGCAATCCTGATTTTTTAATTGCATTTTAGGTTTTGGGGTACATGTGAAGAACATGCAAGATTGTTGCATAGGTACACACATGCCAGTGTGATTTGCTGCCTTCCTCCCCTTCACCTATATCTGGCATTTCTCCTTATGCTATCTCTCCCCAACTCCCCACCCCCCGCTGTCCCTCCCCTATTTCCCCCCAACAGACCCCAGTGTGTGATGCTCCCCTCCCTGTAAAAATATGGAACGCTTCACCAATTTGTGTGTCATTCTTGCACAGGGGCCATGCTAATCTTCTCTGTATCGTTCCAATTTTAGTATGTGTGCTGCCGAAGCGAGCACAAGAAATCCTGATTTTTGATAGGGAAAAAAAATGACTTATATAAGAGGGTGTGATCTTTACTGACAGCCACAGAGAAATTCAAATGAGCCGAAAAGGAATGCAGCTAAGGTGTTCTTATACTGTGAGTAGGCAGAGGTCACTCCACAGCTTGGCACAATATGCCCTGTTCCTTCTGCAGGCTCCTCCAAACTGTCAGGAACCCTGCGTTTCCAGGAGTTCTGGCCTCGGTTTTATGTCCTATGTGCCCAAAAGGAGAGATGGTCTGGGATGAAGTGTCCTGACATCACAAAGGTTTCTCTCCCATCCCCCCTTGCCATCCTGCCCCTCTAGGTGATTGTGAAGCCAGAGAGATAACTTCTCTGAAACCTCTGCACAACTTTTCCTGGTAAGAAATGTCAGTGTTTCACAATCCTTATTTCAGCATCAACCCACACAAATCCTCATTTTCGCCACCACAACCCTAAGATAGCTAATCTTTTTTTTTTTTTTTTTTAGATGAAGTCTTGCTCTGCCATCAGGCTGGAGTGCAGTGGCATAATTTCAGATCACTGTAACCTCCATCTCCTGGGTTCAAGCAATTCCCCTGCCTCAGCCTCCCAAGTAGCAGGGATTACAGGTGTGTACCACTACGCTTGGCTAATTTTTTGTATTTTAGTAGAGACAGGGTTTCACCATGGCCAGGCTGGTCTTGATCTCCTGACCTCATGATCCACCTGCCTCAGCCTCCCAAAATGCTGGGATTACAGGCATGAGCCACCATGCCTGGCGGATAGCTAATCTATTATTCACACTTTGTTAGTTTTCTCACAAGACCCAGTAAACCAAACGACAGCTTTGAAATGTTGGAAATTCAAGATCTGGCCTTTGATTTTGATGTGGTGAAAAAAGGAAATGGGAATAGTTCTAAGAGGCCATAAGCAACCAAGGCACAATCTTTTGTTCACAATGCTGAAGCTGCACTGGTTGAAGGTGACCATAGTGAGAAAGCAAAGATGATATGACCCAGATTAACTTCAGTGCACACTGAAAGTGCATCTTTAATCATCCCAGTTTAATATAACAGGATAACAAGCCCAAGCATTAGCATCAAACTTGGTGCAAATCCTGTCTCTGCCCTTAATAGTTTGTAGCCCTAAGCACAACGACTTTATCTTTCTAAGCCCTTTTCCTCTTTTGTAAAGTAAGGCTTGCAATACTGTCAACTTTGAAGGATTGTGGTGGGGATTAATTGAGATAATACATTCTCAAATCAAATACATTCAATAAATACTAGTTACTACGATGAACACAGTAGTTTCTTAATAAAAACGATTGGCATGGAAATGAAATGCTACATTTGGTACATTTGCGACTTTAAGAAAAAGCTGAGTAAATACACCCAGACTGAGAGCACCTTTTAGCCTTATTTATGTCAATAATGCCCAAAACAAGGACTCACGTCATTCTATTCAAAACACTGATACACCTGTAAACACTGGGAAGTCCCCTCTGTGTGCTTCCCTGAATCACTGTCTTGTAGATTTTCCAACACAGAGCAGGGAGTTAAGTTTCTGGGGACATGTCAAGCTCCCTCCTGTCTGGAGGTGGAGAGAGGTTTGTGTTTATTGCTCCCTGTGAGGTCACAGCCCCATGTGAGAGGCTGAGCTATTCTCAGGTACCCTATGAGAGTCTGTGAAGAAGGAGGAAAACCAGGAAGGATTGGGATCAGGAAGAGCAGCTGCTTCCCGGGCATCAGAGGCAATCCTGGGGCATGGGATAAGATGCAGACATGAGGTGCAATCAGCCTCAAAGAAGGACCCAGAAGTCAGTGTTCAAGGAGGATCTGAGGGCCCCAAACCAGATGATCAGATAAAACTGGGTGTACCTGACTGTCTTAAGATGGGACCCAGGCAGGGGTTAGAAAGAGAGAGCAAGGCTGTCAGTGGGAGATGGGCCTCAGAGTTGCTGCCCTGATGCCTTTCCAGGTGCACAGCTTTTTGTGGTCTCTGCTAAAGAAGGACCAAGCCTAACACAGTTCACCTGGGCCTATAGGCCTATAGGTTCACCTGAGGCAGCTGGGAGCATCCCAGCAAGGTGCCTTGGAGGTAGGTGGGGAGGTGGGATGGGTGGTCAGCCTCTACCTTCAGCAGATTCACTCTAGAAATGTTTCTGTAAATTCTTTGAAGGCGAACCTGAGTGCTTTATAGAAATGATTCCCTGTTACCTTCAAAAGAACTCAATGACTGGAACTATGATTATCTTCCATCCGCACATTAGGACACTGAGAGGATATATGACTCGCCCAGTATCACAAGACCAGCAAATGTTGGTGCAGGAATTTGGAGCCAGGTCCATGTGACTCTACGGCTCATTTCTTAAGCCCACACATACTGCCCACACCCAGAAGAGGCACACGAGGACATGCTAGAGATAAAATCTGTGGGTATTTTAGGTGGAAAGGCAGCCCTACAACCACAGAGTGCATTTCCACACCTGGGCCCCTCCTGCCTTGACCTTACCACATACTCGTCGATGAACTGCCGCAGGTCTCTGAAGCCGTGTTTCTCGGCGATGGTGTTGGGGTAGTGGCCATGCTTGTTGGCCACGCTGTATGCCTGCAGGGCTCCTGGGCAGGTGAGCAACAAGGCAGTGAGATTCTTCAGTCCATATTTCGCAGCAAAATGCAACAAGGTGGGCAGCTCTTCATTCCTCTGATCTGAAAATTGTCAAGGAAAACTGAATTGACAGATAAAAATAAAGGCACAGGGTGTCCTTCATGGAGATGAAGCTGCCAAGACTAGCATGGCGACTGTAGGCACCCAGACATTACTCACTGCTTGATTGACCTAACATCTAACAGCTTCCTTCAGGACACCACTGAAGATCATGTCCTCAGGTGCAGAGGAAATAATTATTTTTTTTGAGATGGAGTCTCACTCTGTGGCCCAGGCTGCAGTGCAGTGGTGTGATCTTGGCTGACTACAACCTCTGCCTCCTGGGTTCAAATGATTCTCTTGCCTCAGACTCCCGAGTAGCTGGGATTACAGGCATGCACCACGCCCAGCTAATTTTTGTATTTTGAGTAGAGATGGGGTTTCACCATGTTATCCAGGCTGGTTGCATACTCCTGACCTCAAGTGATCTGCCTGCTTCTGCCTCCTAAGGTGCTGGGATTACAGCATAAGCCACCACGCCCAGCCTTAACATTTTAATTAATTAGCAAATCTAATAATTAATACCCTGCCATCTTCTCCAACGAGACTAGAAAATCCTGAGAGAAAGTACTAATTCAAAATGTGCTGACTTTTTTTTAAAGGCTTAACTAGCAGCCACAAAGTACAATAGGAATCATGTTTTGAACTTCTCTGCCAAATTCTGAGAATGTATTTTAAAGCTATTGTTTCATGCTGATTAAAAGGAAGAAGTTAATCCTCTTAGCCCTTATTCCTAATTTCATGATAAGTACACCTAGTAATCCTGGGTATGTTCCTTAGACTTTCTTCAGCCTTTAGGTCTCAACCAGAAAATGTTTCCAGACTATCTCAAAAGGACCTGGGAGGGTGAATAAGATGGTATGCAGTGGGATTCTTATTTAGGAGAGATTCTGAACATTGGTCTTAATGCACACAAACCCCACCAGGACGTCAGTTCACTCTAATTGGTGGGAAGCAAAGTGCTCTAGAGAGGTGTTGGTCCCCACGGACCCCTCCACCTACTGTTATCTGAATATAGCAAGTTGAACTCAACCAAAAAAATGGACATGCTTGGGTCTGTGGAGCTGGGGACAAATCTCTTTTTTCATAAATGTTTATTTTTAAGCCCAAGAAGTGTATAGATATATAATATTTATATACAAATGTATATTTTTTAACATGACAAACCCAGACTTCCATTCCAAATACGATTCTTGGGATGAAGGGTCTGAAAATATTCCCATGATCCTAGATTGTCAGGCTATGAAATACTTTCCCCTAAGCTCCAAGCTTAATAGAGAATAGTCAGACTACAAAAGTGCCACAAGAACACTCCATGGTAGGAAAATGGGGGGAGGCAATATGAAAGAGAATCCCCCAGGAGGAGGCCTTGAAGGTCATGTAACCTCATTCTTTTGGTTCTCTTAGGCTACAGAGGGATGGAATGTAGGCAGAGGGTAACCAGAGACTTGGGTCCCATTTGTGCAGTGCAACCATGGCATGCAGGAAGGGTGGTGTCCACAGAGACACTACAATGGGCAACCTGTCTAGAACACCCACCACCATCCCCATGCAAGGGGTGTGACTCTCCCAGCTCCCAGCATGTCCCATGTGCACAAGAGGCTGCTCCTCCTTCATTCAACGAGTATTTGTTTAGAGCCTATAGCAAGCCAGCCACCCAGGAACAGTTCCAGCCCTCACTGAGCGGACAGCCTAGCAAAGAAGACAGACACAGCTGAGGAGTGCTAGGACAGTGGCACCCAACGTGCTGGTGGTCGGGGGGTGCAAAGCAGGTAAATGGAACCTACTGGAGGTTTGGAGAAGGCCTTCCAGAGGAAGTGCTACCTAAGCTGCTACAGGAAGTGAGAGAAGTTAGCCAGGTGAACAGCAACCAAGTCAGGGAGAAAGAACTGTCTTTCCATGAGTCTGTGGCAAGAGACAGGTGAAAAAAGCTCATACCTCATGCAGAGCAAAGCACAGAACAGCCAAGAAGGGGTGTGGAGAGAGATGAGGGCTTGTTTACAGATTAAGCAGTTCAGATTTTATCTAGAAGGCAAGTGGGAACCTCCCTTGACAGAGTATATAGATTACCCGTTTCTCATACTATCCCTGTAAGGAATAATCATAACAAGCTCCACTGGCTTACGCCGAACTGATTTAAAATCGCTCATTGCCTACTCCTCCGAAAGCCACCACATGTGTTTTCAGAAGGGAGTAAAGTATTCAGATTTGTAATTTAGAAGAATGAGGCTACCCAGTGAAGAATGAGTCCTTATCCAAGGAGAGGTTATGGAGAAGGGACCCAGAAGAGTCCCGGCGGAAAGTAAATGCATATGTTGACAGGATGTTGATTTCCTGAGGTTTGACTGTCGACTTACTTGTCATCATGTCTTCCTCTTCCAGCTGGTTGATTCCGAAGAGGTGCAGTCCACTTGCGGGGATATTGTTCTTCAGGGATTCGGTTAGCAGTTTATCAAGGGTCTCTGTGTTGTAGGGCACAATTTTAAAGGCCTGAATACAAAAGTGAAGATGGTCAGATGTGAAATCCAGTTCTCTCCCATTCCACAGATTCAAGACTGATAGGCCTTGAGCAGAAATTACATGCCCAGAAAGCTCAGGTTTCGTTGCAGTATCCTTACCTGACACATGAATTCCACAGGATTCGCAGCATTGGACAATAAATTCCCAATTTCTTCCATGTCAGTATAATAGCTGATAACAGTTTCACACACCACTAAGTCCCCAGAATATATCTTCAGAGAAACATTCCCAGATGAAAGGTCTGAACAGAAGAAAAGATAATATCAAAATTCCCAGGAAAAAAAAGCATCCAGGGAAAAGTGGCTGTGGATATACACACTCCACCTGAGTGGCAAGGACACTAACTGGGGCCTGGAAGAAAGATCTTGGAAGTGAGCTGGGGCTGCAGTGAGGGAAAGGGTGGAGGTGAGCTGGGGTGGGAGTGAGGGAAAGGGTGGAGGTGAGCTGGGGTGGGAGTGAGGGAAAGGGTGGAGGTGAGCTGGGGTGGGAGTGAGGGATAGGGTGGAGGTGAGCTGGGGTGGGAGTGAGGGAAAGGGTGGAGGTGAGCTGGGGTGGGAGTGAGGGAAAGGATGGAGGTGAGCTGGGGTGGGAGTGAGGGAAAGGGTGGAGGTGAGCTGGGGTGGGAGTGAGGGATAGGGTGGAGGTGGGCTGGGGGGGATGAGGGCAAGGGTGGAGGTGAGCTGGGGTGGGAGTGAGGGATAGGGTGGAGGTGAGCTGGGGTGGGAGTGAGGGAAAGGGTGGAGGTGAGCTGGGGTGGGAGTGAGGGAAAGGGTGGAGGTGAGCTGGGGTGGGAGTGAGGGATAGGGTGGAGATGAGCTGGGGTGGGAGTGAGGGAAAGGGTGGAGGTGAGCTGGGGTGGGAGTGAGGGAAAGGATGGAGGTGAGCTGGGGTGGGAGTGAGGGAAAGGGTGGAGGTGAGCTGGGGTGGGAGTGAGGGATAGGGTGGAGGTGGGCTGGGGGGGATGAGGGCAAGGGTGGAGGTGAGCTGGGGTGAGGGTGAGGGAACAGGTGTAGGTGAGCTGGGGTGGGATGAGGGAACAGGTGGAGGTAGCAGGTGAGTAAACCAGCACATGTTAGGGCTGTGGGCCACAGCAATTTTCATTGGGTTTGCAACTTAATTTTCAAAAAATTTTCATCATTTTACTCACTAGTGTAGGGCCCAGTACCTCAATGAACTGGAAGAAAATTCGGGTTTAAGGCACTTTACACAAAGGCCAGTGGTCACAGAAGGAGGGAAAATCATGGGAGGTGAAACTGTGTCTCTGCCACATTGGGCGGGCTGAATTGGTTCACTGCAAGTCATGAGCTGCTGTCATGACGACGTGCTGTCCCTGGGGCGGGATGCTATACCACAGGAAGGGGTTTTGAGGGGGAAAGAGAAAATTAAAAATAACACCAACCACAGAGATTCACAAAAGAGGAAATGCGACAACAGAGACCATGGAAAAATATTCACCCACACTAATAATCAAAGAAGTGCATATGAAAACGATGGACTACTCTCCAAAAAGTATCAAATTAGCAAACACATTTAAAATGGTAATACCTGGCATTGGTGACAGCATAGCAAATAAGCAATGACGCCCTACCTCATCACATTCACAGGGGGCTACTTACTGGGAGCTTTCACGGAAACGGTGTACTCATTCTCCAGCTTGGCTTCCATCCTCACAGAGGGAGAATCCTCAGGAGAAAACTCTGCCTCTGTTGCCACCCTGTCATCCAACTTACATCTCACAATAACGTAGACAGTGGTTTCTGCCTGAAACGGGAGGCCAGTCATTGTCCCCTCTCCCTCTCAGATCCCCGTAGGGTGCTGGGCCTGAGGGTCTCCCAGCTCTACTGAGGGTCCTCCAGGGCAGGGTAGACTCAGTGGTCCAGTGCTGGGCAGTCAACTGTTTGCTGTCGATCCCAATGAGACAAGTCACAACAACAGAGAGTAAATACTTATAGCAATTGAATGGAGTCCTTTTATGTCAATTAAAGCTGATAATAATAATACTAATAAAACTTGGCTGGGTGCGGTGGCTCACGCCTGTAATCCCAGCACTTTGGGAGGCTGAGGTGGGAGGATCATGAGGTCAGGAGTTTGAGACCAGCCTGGCCAACATGGTGAAACCTTGTCTCTACTAAAAATACAAAAACTAGCCAAGTGTGGTGGCAGGTGCCTGTAACCCCAGCTACTCAGGAGGCTGAGGCAGAAAAATCGCTTGAACCCAGAAGGCAGAGGTTGCAGTGAAACGAGATCGTACCACTGCACTCCAGCCAGGGCAAGAGCAAGACTCTTGTCTCAAAAAAACAAAACAAAACAAAGAAACTTAAGGCTGATACTTAATATGCCTTTGTGTGGGTGTGTGTGTGTGTGCGTGCGTGTGTGTGTGTGTGTGTGTGTGTGTGACAGAGTCTTAGTCTGTCACCCAAGCTAGAGTGCAGTGGTATGGCCTCTGCTCACTGCAGCCTCTGCCTCCCAGGTTCAAGCAATTCTCCTGCCTCAGTCTCCAATTGGCTGGGACTACAGGTGCCTGCCACCATGCCCAGCTAATTTTTGTATGTTTAGTAGAGACGGGGTTTTGCTGTGTTGGCCAGGCTGGTCTTGCTTGAACTCCTGACCTCAGGTGATCTGGCTGCCTCAGCCTCCCAAGGTGCTGGGATTTATATGTCTTTTTATTTCATTTTGCATAGCATTTCTGGCGTTTTTTTAAAAGTGAAATCATTGGTCCATTTCAGAATTGGACATCTTATTAGAAGTCCTTCACGACAGATAGCTTGAGAACACTGGCTCTAGACCAGTCTTGCTACTCAAGGTGGAACCATGGGAGCATCAGCATTGGCATCCCCTGGAAACTTGTTAGAAATGCAGAACCTCAGGCCCCTCCTGGCCCCACTGAGCCAGAGTCTGCATCCTAACAAGATGCCCAGGTGACTCCCATGCCCCTTGCAGGGTGAGAGAAGCCCTCCTGGGCTCTGCTCTTCATGTAGTCCTCCCTCACTGGACTTTACCATTGGGCAAAAAGAACTTCTTGGGCAATTAATTTTCCCAAAGCATCAAGCACCTTGAATAGCTCTTTTAGCTTGCTTTAAGATCTCACACCAAGCCTGCCAAATGGAGTAATTCTGCTTGTGCTGGTTACATGGGGAATGAGCCTCTCAGGCTGAACTGGTGAGGGCAGTCTCTCCAAAACACAGACAGGGTAAGGAGGGATTTCTGGCCATAGCGAATCCCCAAATGTTTCTCCTAAGACTCTGCTATAGTCCTCAGATTAGCCCTTCATGGCAAGGGCATGAGAGGGTGTGGCCAGCTTGGACTTTATGACAGGTGATGTGGAGGGCAGTGATCCTGGCTGCTGGGGGCTGCTGAGGCTGCATACACATGTGCTGTGGTGGTTGTCCCTTCTGCTGCAGGCCCAGCCCTGTCCCACCTGCACTTTCCGCTAGGAAGCATGAGGAGCTAATGAGAATGTGTGTCTCCCCTGTTGACAGTCAGGATCCAATTCCAGCCTTCCCCTTCCCCTCCCTGCAGGATCCAGAGGCCTGAAATCAGTAACAAGGAGAATCCTGGGTTCACAGGCAGTCAAGACAGGAATGGGACCCTGGAAAAATCACGGAGGTAAACAAAGGAGATCACACTTTGGTTCCAACCCCCTTTACCTATGGGCACCCAACAGCCTGACCAGAGGGACATGGGAAGGCAGGAAGTGGCATGGGAAGATTTAAAATGGAAATGTCCATAAAGGCATGGCCAGTAAGGCAAAGGAGTGAGATAGGCTGAGTATAAAGAACAGGGAATATGGGAACCCCCTAACTGGGGGATGCACAACCCATGTAAAGGGTTGCTCAGCCCCCACCAATCGTCTTTGGCCTAACATGACCAGATTCTGATTCAAAGGAAGCTGGAAATAAAGATTTTTATGCCTAACTTAAAAAATAATTTTAAAAAGTAAAATATAAAAATAAAGATGGGAGTCTCACCATGTTGCCCAAGCTGGCCTCAAACTCCTGAGCTCAAGGGATCCACCCGCCTTGGCCTCCCAAAGTCTTGGCATTCCAGGTGTGAGCTGCTGCACCCAGCCAATGCCTAACTTTTAAAACACTGTGCAGTCTTGGCCAGGTATGGTGACACACACCTGTAATACCAGCATGTTGTGGGGCCGAGGTGAATGGATCACTTGAGGCCAGGAGCTTGAGGCCAACCTGGCCAACATAGTGAAACCCAGTCTCTAATAAAAATACAAAAAAATTAGCTGAGTGTGGGGGTGCACACCTGCAATCCCAGCTACTTGGGAGGCTGAGGCATGAGAATCACTTGAACCTGGGAGGTGGAGGTTGCAGTGAGCTGAGATCTCACCACTGCACTCCAACCTGGATGACAGAGAGAGACTCCATCTCAAAATAAATAAATAAATAAACACTGTGCAGTCCAAACCAAACATGTCTGATATGGTTTGGCTGTGTCCTCAGCCAAATCTCCTTTTGAATTGTAACTCCCACAATTCCCACGTGAGAGGAGCTTGGTGGGAGATGATTGAATTATGGGGGGCGGGTCTTTCCCATGATAGTGAATGAGTCTCACAAGATCTGACGGTTTTAAAAAGAGGAGTTCCCCTGCACAAGCTCTCTCTCTCTTTGCCTAATGCCATCCATGCAAGACATGCCTTTGCTCCTCTTTGCGTTCCACTATTATTGTGAGGCCTCCCCAGCCATGTGGAACAGTAAGTCCAGTTAAACTTCTTTTTTTTTAACTTGCCCAGTCTTGGGTATGTTTTTATCAGCAGCATGGAAATGAACTAATATAATGTCTATGAGTTAAATCTGGGCCAAAGAAGCAGTTAGCAACCCCATGTAGGAAGTGCTTGCCAAATGCCTCATGGCCTCAGCTGGCATGAAACCACTCACAAGGGTGAGGAAGCCGGTGTCGCCCACTGCCAAGGCTCCCAGGCCCTCTCGCCTCAAGGAGCCCACAGAGCCGTTTTAGCAAAGAGCTTGTATCTGTTAGGAACCATTCTGCTGCTCTGAACTATCATAAATGTCACACATTTTTAATTAGGAAAGGAAAAATAAAAAACCATCCGTACTAGGGTAGGATTCAAATGGCAGTGGCTCATCAATTGGGCCACATACTCAAGTCCTCAGTTAAGGTATGCCCCACCCCTGAAAATGCTAGTTAAATGATGTATGACATTAATCTGATCCCTTTAAAAAGCAATATTGGCCAGTGAGTTTCAGCCATCAAGCTTCAAGACTTCCTTGGGCCATGGTGGTGGCCAGCAATGGAGAAGCAAGCTGTCAGATGCCCAAGATGCGTTTCCTTCCTCCCAGTACTAGGCTACCAGGAAGAGACACAGGCCTCTAACTCTCGGGTTAGCATTAGTGTCTGGAATGCTCCTGTCTGCCGGTCTCCTGGATGCTCCATGTTATTGATCCATAGAATAGAAGTCTTAGACTGACGACACACATCTCCCTGGACTAGCCTCTTTCTTACTCAAGGGAACTGGGTGTGTTTAGGGCCCAGGTAACAGGGTGCCCAAAGGAAATCCCAAAGGAAGGCTGCAATTATGCTGAGGTGCAACATGAGAACCTGCTCTCTTTACCACAACAAATGCATGCATTTGAAAAGGCCAAGTGTTGACATCTAGCAGTGCCTACCCCACAGCGAATGCGGTCCGGCTGCACCACCATCAGGTTCCCAGGCGACGTCACTGTTGGCAGGTTCTGCTGCTTCGAGTGGGAAACAGACTTCTCGTCCTCAGGCTCAGTGTCAGTAACTGAGTCACAGCCAGAATCTACAAAATAGAGGACAGCGCTGAATGGGAATGGCAGGAAGGAGAACTGGTGGGCATGTTCCACCCCATGAGAGCCCCAAACATTGCAAAATAGGAAATGGCTCTGAAGGTCGAACAAATACAAGCAGAAGGGACTGACTCAGGAAGTCATAAAAGAGGACCTAGTGGGGAAAAGCCAATCAGCATGTAGGCCACAGGACAGGATGGCAGCAAGAGGGAAGACAGTGGTGGAGGGGAAGGCCAGAAAGTCTGAGGTTTGGTCTTAACCAATGGGTTTCTGGAAGCTTTACCTCCAGACTTCCTGCAGAGACAAAGAGGAGTGAGGAAAGGAAGGAGGCCCTTTTCCCTTAGGTGGGTTCAAGTAGGGACTGTCCACCTAAAGGTCATTCTTGGAACATCAGGTAAAATCTGCACTGTCCAGAAAGCCAGTAGGTCTCAGGATAATGGCTAGCCAATGTATCCCCTCTGGAACCAACAGTGAAAAGCAGTTATTTTCAACAAACCTTAGATAAATTGGGAACACCTGTACCATGGGACGATTAGAGCATGCACAGAGTCAGGGCTGGTAAGCAGGGGTATTCAAATGTGTGGGGTATTGGCACAGAGTGAGATGCTGCTGAGAACCTACCAGAGCTCGAAGGCAGGGGCTCTTAACCAGGAACTGTTAATTGGTAGACCAACCTCTGAGGTTTGTGTGCAAGATTGTGTGTGTGTGTGTGTGTGTGTGCGCGCGCGCATATGCAAGCACATGTGTATCTCTTTTCCTATACTTTTCTGGAGATGGTTCAAAGCATCAGATCCTCAAAGAGGGACAGAATTCCAAGATAGTTAAGAATGGTTGAGAGGGCCAGGTGCAGTGGCTCACACCTGTAATCCCAGCACTTTGGGAAACTAAAGTGGGCAGATCATCTGAGGTCAGGAGTTCGAGACCAGCCTGGACAATAGGGTGAAACCCCATCTCTACTAAAAATAAAAAATTAGTCAGGTGTGGTGGCACATGCCTGTAATCCCTGATACTTGGGAGGCTGAGGCAGGAGAATCACTTGAACCTGGAAGGCAGAGGTTGCAGTGAGCTGAGACTGTGCCACAGCACTCCAGCCTGGGTAACAAGAGTGAAACTCCATCTCAAAAAATAAATGGTTGAGAGGAGAGAAAAGTTTCATCAGTCTCTTTTTTGGGCTTGCTCTCATTCATTCCTTAACGACTTTTACAACCAACCAAATGTGTTAGGTACTTGAGGTAACCTAAGGATGAATCAGACACTAACCCTGCCTTCAGAGAGTCCATCATCTAAAAGGATAAGAGAAGTGAGAAGCAAGGGTTAGTTTGGCTGATTCCTGTAGGCTGGTTTCCTGGGAGAAAATTGGCCTCCGCAGAGTTTGTGGCAACTGTCCTAGTAGAATGCTAGGGTTACAAATCAGCTGCTGATAGGAACCCTAGAAAGCTGCAACCATAGCCTTTCACCCTAGACCCTAGGTCATGTTAGGAAGAGGCTGGGCTTACACAACCACAAAGGCTGAAGTGGGGGCAGGGCCACAGGGCCACAGTAACACTGTATCCTATTGCTGTAACTATAAGGCACTGATCCGTGGCCTACTCAGGCCAGGGGAGAGACCAGGGCTTCTTCCCTAGCCATACAGCTTAAAAGCTCCATAGCCTAGGTGGAGGTCCCATCCCAGAGCCTGGATCTGACTGCTGAGTGTCTATGGACTGCCCCAGAGAGCAATGTGCAATGAAGCATGTACTCTTGCCACTATTCCCCCTCTGTGATTTTTCCCAAAACATGCTACTGCAGAAGGCCTATTTGAATGCTGCCAAAGGCCTTGTTTGTGCATCAGGCAGACTCTAGTGCTAAGAGGTAGAGCAAACGACCCGGGGTGTTCTAAGCAAGCTGATACGGTTTTTAGCAGGGCATCAAAACCACCAGTCTCCTCCAATTCTCCTTTCTAATCCTCCTGGCTCTCCTCTCACTCCCTGCAAAAGCCAACACAATAGGCTGGCGTTTTCTCTGCTGGCGACACCCTTCCCCATACCCTTCTCTCCTTGACTGATCACTTCTAAAACAGCCAGGGCCCATCGCCCTGGACAGAGGTATAAATGCCACCCAAGCAACCCTTACCCAGCAGAGGAACTTGTAATGGAAAAAGCCAAAAAGATAGGGACAATTCATAGTCTTCTTCTTAAGTTTCAGTTAATTATTATTAGATTCCTGGACATACCATTTTAAAAAATATTTCTGAGATTCCTCTGGGATGAGAAAATAATCCCATGGACTTAAAACATTCAGTCGGTTACTTAAAACAGAAAGAAGCTCATTGGAACTATGTCTTGCTCCAGGACTGTTTAGATACTACTTGAGTGGCCACAGTGGCTGGAGTGGCTCAAACTCTTACCAGTTACCTACTATAATATATCTCACAGGTATTACCTCTTTGGGATGGACCCACAGTGCAGTCTACCATTGTTTCAACAAAGAAAAATCCTTTATTTCTCCCAAATTACTGACCCACTAGCCTTCTGGCTAAGTAAATATAACTTAGAAAAGAATGGAGAAAATATAAATTGGTCAAATGAGAAAGGAATGGTAACTACACACAGGGAAACTTAAGAAACGCATTGAAGTGAAAAGTCTATGTTAAGAATTCATATAAAAGTGAGAACTCCTTGCTAAGAAAATCTCAGTGCAGCTAGGCGTGGTAGCTCATGCCTGTAATCCCAGAACTTTGGGAGGCAGAGGTGGGAGAATCACTTAAGGCCAGGGGTTCGAGACCAGCCTAGGCAACATAGCACCTGTCTCTTCAAAAAAAAAGAAAGAAAAGAAAAGTAAATCTCAGTGCAATTTTAATAGAAAAATATAAAGCACTGAAATTGTCTAAAGAAGTAGAAAACCTGACTAAAGCAATAACAAAAAAAATTTAATAACCATGAAAAAACCCTCCTCAGTTTAAAAATAATATTTAGAGTAAAAGCCACACAATCTTCTTTGAATTAAATTTAATTCAGGACAATGTTCTTCTTTACAATACTAATTCTTTTCTATCCTGGAAAACTCCATTTGTATAGGTATTATGTCTTCTAGTAAAGTTTTAAAAAATAATAAAGGATAGTCCTATTTTATATTAAAGTTATTAAAAACAGAATGGACACAGCAACTGAATACAAGAGATAGTCCAGAATTAAAGCTTCTTTCCCATAAAAACTTAATATGGAATTTAAAAAAGCATTAAAAATCAGTACAAAGACATTATCAAGAGAATGCAGCAATAACCTGTTGTCTGGGGGAAAATAGTTGAAAAAGACATACCTAATAAAAGACTTGTGCCCAAAATATACAAAGAACTCTTAAAACTCAACAGGCAGAAAATAAAAAGCCTGATTTTAAAAAAGGGCAAAACATCTGAACAGGCAAAACACCTGAATGGACACTTCATCAAATAAGACACGTGGATGGCAAATAAGCCATCTGTGTATCTTGAAAAGATGGTCCATATCATATGTCATCAGGGAAATGAAAACTAAAACAGTAATGAGATAGCACTACACATCCATTAGAATGGCCAGAATCGAGAACACTGACAACACCAAATGCTGGTGAGGGTGAGGATGTGGAGCAACAAGAACTTAAATCCTTTGCTGAGGTTCTTTGCCTTTGCTGGTAGGAATGCAAAACGGTACACCCACTTTGGAAGACAGACTTACAAAACTAAACACAAGCTTACTAAACAACCCAGCAATCATGCTCCTTGGTATTTACAAAAAAGAGTTGAAAATTTACAGTCACACAAACAGCTGCACACAAATCTTTATAGCAGCTTTGTTCGTAACAGCCAAAACTCGGAAGTGACCAACATGTCCTTCAGTAGGTGAATGGATAAAGTGTGGTACCTCCAGACAATGCAACACTACTCAGCACTAAAAAGAAACGAGCTGGCAAGCCCTGAAATGCCATGGAGAAAACCTAAATGCACATTACTAAATGAAAGAAGTCAATCTGAGCCAGGCACAGTGGCTTACCTCTGTAATCCCAGCACTTTGGGAGGCTAAAGTAGGCGGATCACCTGAGGTCAGGAATTTGAGACCAGCCTGGCCAACATGGTAAAACCTGTCTCTAGTGAAAATACAAAAATATGCCATGCATGATGGTGCACACTTGTAATCCCAGCTACTTAGGAGGCTGAGGCAGGAGAATCGCTTGAACCCAGAAGGCAAAGGTGGCAGTGAGCCGAGATTGCGCCATTGCACTTCAGCCTGGGAGACAATAGGGAACTCCATCTCAAAAAAAAAAAAAAAGAAGTCAATCTGAAAACACACTGTATGATTCCAACTATATGACATTCTGGAAAAAGCAGAACTATGGATCAGTGATTGCCAGTGGTTAGTAGGAAAGAAAGAATGAATAGGCAGAGCACAGAGGCTTTTTAGGGCAGTGAAACTACTCGTATGATACTATACCAGTGGGTGCATGTTATTAGACATTTCTCCAAACAAACAGCATATACAACACCAGGTGAATCCTAATATAAACTATTGGCTTTGGGTGAGTGATAATGATGCATCAATGTAGATTCATCAGTGGTAACAAATGTGCTACTCTGGTGCAGGATGTTGACGGAGGTGGGGAGAGGCTGCGTATATGTATGTAGAGACAGAGCAGACATGGAACTTTGAGTGCTTTCCACCTGATTTTGCTATAAACCTAAAACTGCTTTAAAATATAAAGTATGTTCAAAAATATTAGCTGGACATGGTGGCATGTGCCTGTAGTCCCAGCTACTCGGGAGGCTGAGGTGGGAGGATTGCTTGAGTCCAGGAGGTGGAGAATGCAGATCACGCCATGCACTCCAGCCTGGGTGACAGAGAGAGACCCTGTCTCTAAAAAAAGGAGAAAAGAAATCAATACAGACTGAATGAAATGGTTAGTGTGAAGGATGATTCAGCAGATGGTGCCAGAAAATATTATCTTGAGGGAGAGGGAAAAGTGATGGGCATTATTTAGATTC